ATTATGACACTGACCGCCACTGCTGTAGCTGCTGGCTAAAACTCAGTCGACAGACAGGTCTGTTACTATCTCCTCCTCAACAGTGGATGGATACCCCGAGCCGGTGATCATCAACTTCACTAACAAGCCCTTTAAAAAAAGGATATGTATATACACATCCATACATCCATACATCCATACATACATACATACATACATATACACATACATACATACATACATACATACATACATACATACATACATACATACATACATACATACATACATACATACATACATACATACATACATACATACATACATACATACATACATACACACATACATACATACATACATACATACATACATACATACATACATACATACATACATACATATATATATATATATACATATCCTTTTTTTAAAGGGCTTGTTAGTGAAATTGATGATCACCGGCTCGGGGTATCCATCCACTGTTGAGGAGGAGATAGTAACAGACCTGTCTGTCGGCTGAGTTTTAGCCAGCAGCTACAGCAGTGGCGGTCTGTGCCATTATGATGAGGGAGGATGTCCTGTTGTAGGAGGAAATTGGCTCCAATCAAGCGCCGTCCACAGGGTATGGCATGACGTTGCAAAATGGAGTGATAGCCTTCCTTCTTCAAGATCCCTTTTACCCTGTACAAATCTCCCACTCTACCACCACCAAAGCACCCCCAGACCATCACATTGCCTCCACCATGCTTGACAGATGGCATCAAGCACTCCTCCAGCATCTTTCATTTGGTCTGCATCTCACAAATGTTCTTCTTTGTGATCCGAACACCTCAAACTTCGATTTGTCTGTCCATAACACTTTTTTCCAATCTTCCTCTGTCCAGTGTCTGTGTTCTTTTGCCCACCTTAATATTTTATTTTTATTGGCCAGTCTGAGATATGGCTTTTTCTTTGCAACTCTGCCTAGAAGGTCAGCATCCCGGAGTCGCCTCTTTACTGTCGACATTGAGACTGATGTTTTGCGGGTACTATTTAATGAAGCTGCCAGTTGAGGACCTGTGAGGCGTCTGTTTCTCAAACTTGACACTCTAATGTATTTGTCCTCTTGCTCAGTTGTGCACCGAAGCCTCCCACTCCTCTTTCTATTCTGGTTAGAGCCAGTTTGCGCTGTTCTGTGAAGGGAGTGGTACACAGCGTTGTACGAGATCTTCAGTTTCTTGGCAATTTCTCGCATGGAATAGCCTTAATTTCTTAGAACAAGAATAGACTGACGAGTTTCAGAAGAAAGTTATATGTTTCTGGCCATTTTGAGCCTGTAATCGAACCCACAATTGCTGATGCTCCAGATACTCAACTAGTCTCAAGAAGGCCAGTTTTATTGCTTCTTTAATCAGCACAACAGTTTTCATCTGTGCTAACATAATTGCAAAAAGGGTTTTCTAATGATCAATTAGCCTTTTAAAATGATAAACTTGGATTAGCAAACACAACGTGCCATTGGAACACAGGACTGATGGTTGTTGATAATGGGCCTCTGTACGCCTATGTAGATATTCCATTAAATATCAGCCTTTTCCAGCTACAATAGCCATTTACAACATTAACAGTGTCTACACTGTATTTCTGATCAATTTGAACAGTAGTGTATATATATTTGCGGAAAAATATATATGTGGGATTGGAAGTGATGCAGACAATTACATAGATGGAAGTTACAATCTATCTGCAATATTCAAGCTGATCTACAACAGACAGAGAGACAGACAGAGAACCATGTTGACCAGCTAGAGCAAGATGACAGGGAGGCGGACAGCACTGTAATCAGCAGAGTAAATACATTAGCTGGAGAAGAGATCTTAAAGTGGAGGAATATTAAATTGGGCCATACCAAGGTGTTGGTTTTAAGAGGCTGACCTCTCTAGATGAAAGAAGCGGATTGCTTAACGCCAGGAAGGGATACAAAGACAATCAAATCCACATATAAATGCCTCCTGGAGTTTTTGAAGTTTGCTGTTAGTTAATGAGGAAGACAGGAATAGGTTGTACTCATTAAAAAATGTATCCTAATGATAATAAGCCTTTTTGAACTGGTTGTAAAATGCTTAATAATTTTTAGTATCAGTATCTGTCAAATACAACTGTTACTGATGGTGAAAATGATATTTAAATGCCAAGCTTTATGTACATTTCGCAATCACGCTTGCATTGAAGTGGGGTGGACAAGTGCATATGTCATCCATATGAATGTTCATGTACATGTTCACGGTAATGTTCTCCTCTGCTGCTGTTGAAAACAATAGGCTGATTGTTCCTGTTGTCGGGAGGATCTCCCTCTATTGACTTTAGTACGCCTGCTGTGGCTCCTAGCCTTGGTATTTAGAAATTGCTTCCCCTGTCATAACAGAGAAGGGACTAAAACACTGAGAGCACCCCTCAAATCAGCAGGGCTAATTGTCTGCAGAGCATGAGTTAAGCTGACAGGTGAAGGTTCGTGATGGATGTCTTACCGGTGAGATTTGGGGATTGACACCAGCTCCACTCTTTCTGACCTGAGTCTGAACCTGTGACAAAATTACAGGCTCTCCAATAAGACCTCTGGTATTTTACCCAGGGATGTTTCTGTAACCCTTCCTTACCTCACCACACAACAATTACCCAGCAGCAGTGCTCTGCTCCCTGCCTGTGGAGACCTGCCGCTCCGCTTGGCTCAGCTCACAGCTCATACAAAAGGCCTGCCTGCCTAGCTGGCTGTCAACCACAAGCTTTGTTTTCACAAGGCTTTAATAGGGACATGTTGCCCTCGGTTTCTGCAATTAAAACAGATCCACTGTACCTGCTCCAATGGTTTTCTAGTTCTAATTTAACCAGGTGTCTTTGTTAAGTGAATCACTTCTCATTCACATGAACCTGGCTCTGGCTGGCAAGTGGCGTATTAAATTTCAGATAATCAAACATAGACATGGGTCAAAACAAATGACTGGGAACAGTCCAATGAAGCAGCCAATAATGAAACTCAGCAATTCCTTGGTGGATCCTCTTCGTGATCCTTGGCATCTTACCTCTATGTTTTCGAGCAGTCGATTGGCATGGAAATATGATTGACAGTCATCATAGTCAATTATGAGATATTATTTTTATTCCATGGCTTAAAATGATGGGGTCTTGACAAAAACAATGACAGTGAAAACATGGCATAGTTTGGCTCCAGTTGCACATATTCAGCCTCTTAATCATGTTACACTCAGTGTTCTGGCCAAAGTAAATATAGACTGAGCTGTCTGATGCTCTGACAATGCTTGTTAAGGTTGGCAGTTGTCATCATGCTGATGCCCCTTCCACCCCATGTCCCTGAAAATGAGACTCATATTTGCGTAGCTTTAATACAATGGAAAGATCTTGCCTCGCCTGTTCTTGCCTTGCCTGAAGAAAAAGCTACTTTTTCCCCCTCCCCTCCGTCCTCCACCTTGACTTTCCTCAGACCTGCATGCCCACACACAGAGCTGCCTCTCACCCCCCACTGCACCACCACTTCCTGCCTATAGGGCTGTACTGACCGCCCAAGGAAGGAATCAGGGGCTGCTGTACGCCTCTAAATACACACTCATGTTTACACAAGGCGTTAGAGCACATTGCATCTCATTCAGTGCTAACATGCACTGTTTGCTTTACTAATCATCCATGTCTGGTATCATGCACTAAAAATATACTTTACAGCATAATTAGCTTGCCTGGCCTGGGTCACAGAGGAGTGTCTCAGTGTATTAAAGGCCAATGTGTTTGCAGAAAAGATCAAGATGATTAATGTCACGACATAGAATGCATAAAAGGCTTTGTTCTCTAAGCCTGATTTATGGTCAACTCTTCAATAAAGTGTTACGTGCACAGTACAACTTTGTGAATTATTCAATTTTACTGCAATATTGCAGTATTTAAATTGTTTTTCATGAATACATTTACATTTCAAACTCATGATATGATGTTCTGTATGTTTAACAATTTACTTGATTTGCACAAATTAGTGATTTACGCAACTGTTTCATTAACTACAGTCATGTCAATGGATAGATGAAATATGCATTTTTCTATGTGACAGGCGGTACAGTTGTCTTTCATATGCATTTGCCTAGCGGCCTTGCCTTCTGGCATATGCAGGGGATCTGTCATATCTATGAAAAGCCTTTTGTGTCAACTCAGCTCGAACCTCTTGCTGCATGTCGGCAGAGGGTTTCATGTCAATGTAGTTGCATTACATATCAGATCAAACCGAAGATTCATTTTAGCATAGTGAGAGCATAAAGATATTTTTATGGATGAAGATTAAATAAACCTAGGAGTACACTTAATTCTGGTTCAAATAGTGTTAAAATACAAATGTAGTTTCCTGAAAATCAGCGAACCTTGGAGTCCATGCTTGTGGTCTGCTTATTCAATTTTTTAAAAATAGTAATTAATATGATACAAATAATGTGGGACTTTCATCATTCATATGGAAATGATTGCCATTTTATTAAGTGTATTTAAATACACAAAACACATGGTAAAAATAACAACATACAGAACAATCTGCATTGTGTTGTCCATGCCAAAAAACCTATTCAACAAGGATTATTTACATCAGAAAAATAATGTACTAGTTTATATCAAACTAAAAATAGATTTTTTTGTTTTAAAAAAGGAACTCTTTACAAATTAACATCGTTGGAAGGAAACAACAGGAGGCCAAAGTGGAAAATAAAAGTGTTGACAAGCAGCTGAAGACAGTTTTATCTGGGGAGTCCGTAAGGTAGAGTTGGAGGAGTGCTCCGTTGATGCAAAGGCCTGCGGGCTGAGAACCTCTCTAAAATATTTTAAATGTTTGGCAGTTTCCTAGTTTCTTTGGCACAGGCTGTGGTTTATTAAATTCTACAGTCTCTGACAGTTTAAGAGGCTTCCCTCATTGCAGTAAAATCACTCCACCCCAGTCAAAAGAGAAAGGTAAAGGATGAGATACACCCTATTATTTTCCAAATGAAAATAGAATACTTTACATATACTGTATATATATCATTATCTAACATATATTTTTCTTTCCAGAATATTACTACAGTATGTTACAGTGAATGTGTTCATAGATACAAATTGAAATATATTGTTTTGGAAACATATCAAATGCAAAAGGAACACAACATAAGTTAATTGACCAATTAAACAAGACGATGCTGTGGCTCTGGGACAGAAATACAATTCCATTCAAAGCTGGATAGAATAGGTACAATGGCAGTGTCAACTGTAATTCAGAGCATATAGTAATTATTCAATATTATTATTTTGAATAAGCAAAAGTCAAACACTGTAAAATAACACTTAATTTGGTATTAATAAACCTTGGTGTTTCTAGACTGGTAAAGCTTGTGATATCCTCTGAGAGAAAAAGGCACCATGACCAGTGTGGTCATTTTATGTTATGTTATAGCTACAATACTCAGGCAAACTGGACAGCGTGCGACTAAAGGAGTCCTCTCGCAGTAGAACAAGCAGGTCTGAGGCTGGGGAGGTGACACTGTTGTTCTAGAAAGAAAACAACACAGGGACAAAATGCACTGTACAATTCTGGATTTTTCATTTCTGTGTATATGCCTGACTCTACATGTAAACTCTTTTTATTCCAGTATATGGCAAAACCCAAATGATCTACCGTACCTATGAATGTCACCCAGTCCAGTCCAACCTCAAACACGACTGACTAATCAACACCAGACAGGCTTTTTCAGTGATCCTGAGGCACTACAGTAAGTGTTTCTGTTTTCCAGTCAGCACCAGTCTTAAGTTGTTTCATTCAGACATTAATAACTGTCTTATTTAGCTGGCGGCATGTGTCTTTGACTGCATCGGGAGTGGCTGCTCTCGCTGCTCTCGACCCTCGCTCACCGCCATGGGATTGTGGGTCTCTGTTGCCCCAGTGACCTTGCTGAGGTCCTGGGGTTCCGACTGGGGAGCTTCTCCGTGGGCCAAGGCCTCTCCGGCTGCCATCCTCATCCTCTCCTCCTCAGCCAGCCTGGCCAGCCTTTCCTCTGCCTCAATCTCCTCAGTGGTGGGGATGGAGTTCTTCTTGGGCCTGCCCTTGGGCTTGGTGGGGGCCTCCTGTCCTCCCTTCAGCACCTGGAGCAACATCCCACACAAACACAGACACACGGCTCAGTGGGGTTGTGATAAATGCTGGCAGCGGTCAAAGGCAACCATGGCTAATATAGTAATTAAGGGAAGATGTATGGCTCTGAGCACTCCATGTACAGTCATTAATCTGGGGGAGTTAACGGTTTGAGACTTTTTTTTCTCTGAGCTGCTGACCTGACTAGACTAGACTTTGGTATCCCAGCCCCTCATCCCTCATCATCCCTCAAACTCAGACATTTCCACCCCTATCACTCCTTCTCTCTACACTGACCCAGGGTCATTGTTGTTATGGGTGTGTGGCACACTCACCATTTTCTTCCACTTCATCCTTCTGTTCTGGTACCAGGTCTTCACCTGAAGCTGTGTGAGGCCTAGAGACTGGGCCAGGTCTAGTCTGCAGGGAAACAAAGACATACAGCACACACGGCAACTCAGTGTACATGTTTTTGAAACATTAGTTCATTATTTATAAGATAAAAAGCAGCAGTAGATAGACAATTGATTTACAAAGAGAGGGAGTAATCAAACTAAAATGAATGAATCATCTGTTGACTATCCTACCCTGAAATGCATGCCATCATCAGCCAAATACACTGTATCATCTAGATGGCGTTCCCCTTGGAAACTAGCTGGCATCCTAACCCTAACTTTATAACCCCATTCTGGCATGGTGGATCAAAGTACTGTAGTCTCTTTGATACACCCTCTTATGGTCCAGAGAGAGACTTCACACCTGCAGCATACAGGAGAGCCCTTATTGAACATCTGTAAGGGAGTTCAGTGATCCAATCAAAGCATCCGTATCTGGATGTTCAGGGTGGTATGGAATCCTGGACACTTCCACCACATGTGCTCTGATCCATGACTAATAAGGATATTGGTTGGCGTGTAATGTGATATTCCAGGAAGTGAAAGACGGATCAGCCTACAGAGGGAGGGGGCTTTATCAGGTTTTTGAAATGAGATTTCCGCCACATCTCAATTCTATGTCCTTCACACTCAAATGAGTGGAACTGGCTTTCATTTGATGTAAAGAGAGAGAGAGAGACTACTACAGAGCCATCAGCTTGCCCTCTAATCTTTTCAACTCGTCCTATCTTCTCTCCTGTCCTCTCCTTCCCTCTCCTCTCACCATCTCTATCTGACCTGATTTGAAAGTATGGATATACTCAGAATACATATCCCAAATGAAATAAATGATTAGATTTTAGTCATTTAGCAGATGCTCTTATCCAGAGCGACTTACAGTTAGTGCATACATTATTTATTTTTCATTTTTCATACTGGGCCCCCGTGGGAATCAAACCAACAACCCTGGCATTGCAAATGCCATGCTCTACCAACTGAGCTACATCCCTGCAAGCAATTCCCTCCCCTACCCTGGGCCAATTTTGCGCCGCCCCATGGGTCTCCCGGCTACGACAGAGCCTGGATTTGAAACAGGATCTCTAGTGGCACAGCTAGCACTGCGATGCAGTGCCTTAGACCACTGCGTCACTCAGGAGGTTAGTGATCTCACTCCAATACATTTTAATAGAAAGTTAGCAAAAATAGATAAGATCTTGCTACCATGGAAAGGTAAATACCTGTCAATTTGTGGGAAAATCACCCTGATTAACTTTAGTATTATCCCAGTTTACCTATTTGCTTATGGTCTTGCCTACGTCTAGCGAACAGTTTTTTAAATTATATGAGAAAAAATTATTCAATTTTATTTGGAACGACAAGCCAGACAAAATTAAAAGGGCCTATTTATATAATGAATATGAATTCGGAGGACAGAAATTATTAAATATTAAAGCATTAGACCTATCACTAAAAGCTTCAGTCATACAAAAATTATACTTATATCCAAACTGTTTTTTTTGTTGTTATTTAGCAGACGCTCTTATCCAGAGCAATTAGGATTAAGTGCCTTGCTCAAGGGCACATCGACAGATTTTTCATCTAGTCGGCTCGGGGATAAGAACCAGCAACCTTTCGGTTACTGGCACAATGCTCTTAACCACCAAACTACCTGCCACCCCAGTTCTCTAGTAAATTAGTAAGATTGTCTCACCAAATGTTCAAGAATGGCCTTTTTCCCTTTATTCAGATTACAACCTCTCACTTTCAGTTATTTGAAAAGGAAATCATCTCCCAAATATCACTATTTCTAAAACAAGCCATAGAAAGTTGGTTGCAATTTCAATTTAATCCTCCAGAAACAACAGAACAAATAATGCAACAAATATTGTGGTTAAACTCAAATATACTAATTGATAAAACAAACTTATTTTTTGGACAAAATGTTTAAAAAAGGTATAATCTTCGTAAATGATATCATCGGTTGGACTGGTGGAGCTATGTTGCACATGCAGCTAACAAAAACATATGGAAATGTCTGCTCTACCCAAAATTACAACCAAATAATTGCAGCATTACCGCAAAAATAGAAGAGGAAAGTAGAGGGGTGAAAAAGTAAGGAACTTGTCTGTCAGCCTTGCATTAAAGAACATAATTGGTTAAAGAAAACTGTGATAAATAAACAAGTATACCAGTTTCATTTAAGGACCAAATGATTGACAGCCTTCCCATATAGATTGAAAAATAGTTGGGAAGAGATTTTTGATGTACCGATCCCATGGCATAGTGTTTATGAACTGATACGCAAAACAACGCCGGTTTCAAAGTTTAGAATTTTTCAATTTAAATTATTATATACAATTCTTGCTACCAATATAATGTTATTTATATGGGGGATACAATCTTCCCAGCTCTGCAGATTTTGCTGTGAAGAGACAGAATCATTAGATAATTGTTTTGGTACTGTCCATTTATAGCTTGTTTTTGGACACAGGTCCAGGAATGGCTAAAGGATTGCAATATTTACCTGGAGCTAACCCTGCCGATAGCATTATTGGGTGATCTGAAAAGTCATAGTCAATCGATCAATAATATAATAATACTTTTAGCAAAAATGTTTATTTTCAATTTACAACCTGTAGAAACAATGAGAATAGAAAGGTTCAGAACTTTTGTAAAACATCACAGTACAGTTGAAAAATATATGGCTAATAGAAACCCAATATGGATTATGTTAAGAGATAGATGGGTGGTGTCGAATGGAGTTGAAGGATGGGACTAATAACAACTAACAACAACTAATAACAACAAGATAACTAATAATGTAAGCATACTGTGTCCATAATAAGTATATAGGTTATAGGTTGAGATCTTTTGTGAAAGAGCACAGTTAGAAAGATATGGCATATACAGTGGGGAGATCAAGTATTTGATACACTGTTGATTTTGCAGGTTTTCCTACTTACAAAGCATGTAGAGGTCTGTAATTTTTATCATAGGTACACTTCAACTGTGAGAGACAGAATCTAAAACAAAAATCCAGAAAATCACATTGTATGATTTTTAAGTAATTAATTTGCATTTTATTGCATGACATAAGTATTTGATACATCAGAAAAGCAGAACTTAATATTCAATACGGTGCAGTCGTCCTGTCCCCTTTGCAGACAAGCATCCCGAAAGAATGATGTTTCCACCTCCATGCTTCACGGTTGGGATGGTGTTCTTGGGATTGTACTCATCCTTCTTCTTCCTCCAAACACGGCGAGTGGAGTTTAGACCAAAAAGCTCTATTTTTGTCTCATCAGACCACATGACCTTCTCCCATTCCTCCTCTGGATCATCCAGATGGTCATTGGCAAACTTCAGACGGGCCTGGACATGTGCTGGCTTGAGCAGGGGGACATTTACATTTTTTCATTTTAGTCATTTAGCAGACGCTCTTAACCAGAGCGACTTACAGGAGCAATTAGGGTTAAGTGCCTTGCTCAAGGGCACATCGACAGATATTTCACCTAGTCGGCTCGGGGATTAGAACCAGCGACCTTTCGGTTACTGGCACAACGCTCTTAACCACTAAGCTAATTACACGGCAGGACCTTGCGTGCGCTGCAGGATTTTAATCCATGACGGAGTAGTGTGTTACTAATGGTTTTCTTTGAGACTGTAGTCCCAGCTCTCTTCAGGTCATTGACCAGGTCCTGCCGTGTAGTTCTGGGCTGATCCCTCATCTTCCTCATGATCATTGATGCCCCACGAGGTGAGATCTTGCATGGAGCCCCAGACCGAGGGTGATTGACCGTCATCTTGAACTTCATCCATTTTCTAATAATTGCGCCAACAGTTGTTGCCTTCTCACCAAGCTGCTTGCCTATTGTCCTGTAGCCCATCCCAACCTTGTGCAGGTCTACAATTTTATCCCTGATGTCCTTACACAGCTCTCTGGTCTTGGCCATTGTGGAGAGGTTGGTGTCTGTTTGATTGAGTGTGTGGACAGGTGTCTTTTATACAGGTAACGAGTTCAAACAGGTGCAGTTAATACAGGTAATGAGTGGAGAACAGGAGGGCTTCTTAAAGAAAAACTAACAGGTCTCTGAGAGTCGGAATTCTTACTGGTTGGTAGGTGATCAAATACTTATGTCATGCAATAAAATGCAAATTAATTACTTAAAAATCATACAATGTGATTTTCTGGATGTTTGTTTTAGATTCCGTCTCTCACAGTTGAAGTGTACCTATGATAAAAATTACAGACCTCTACATGCTTTGTAAGTAGGAAAACCTGCAAAATCGGCAGTGTATCAAATACTTGTTCTCCCCACTGTAGAAGCAAACCGGATGGACATCATGAAAATGATCGGAGAGGTTGAGGGTAGAGGAAGTTCAGAAGTAAAAACAAACAAAATAGAATTATTGTAAAATTGACTGTGTCCATAAAATGTATATAGTATAAGCTGGAAGTAGAGGCCTAAGCATTGTTGTTCACTAGTTTACTCCAATTACATTTTAGTCATTTAGCAGACGCTCTTATCCAGAGCGACTTACAGTTAGTGAGTGCATTCATTATTTTTTTTCATACTGGCCCCCCGTGGGAATCGAACCCACAACCCTGGCGTTGCAAACGCCATGCTCTACCAACTGAGCTACATCCCTGCCGGCCAATCCCTCCCCTAACGTGGACGACGCTGGGCCAATTGTACGCCGTCGCATGGGTCTCCCGGTCGCGGCCGGCTACGACAGATTGTCTCTAGTGGCACAGCTAGCACTGCGATGCAGTGCCTTAGACCACTGCGCCACTAGGGAGACATGGGAAGGGGTGGTGGGGTTGGAAAGTAGTAAATGGAAATATACATATATTATTTTATTTTTATTTTTTTAATTTATTTTTGTATGTATTACATAGAGGGAACTCCAGTCCATACAACTGTAGACAGTATAGACAGCCGCACGGTCTCAGTGATTGAGTGCAGAAGAAAAGTGTGTGTGCATACTTTGAAAAACCCACTCTACACCAGAAATACAGGCAATCAAGCTGTCCATCATGCTTGACTGTCAAACTGCCCAGTGGAGGGACTGGAGGCAAGGAAAGTAATTGCAGGAGACGAAAGCACCCCAGTTATTTATGGTCATTAGTCTTCTATGGAAGGAAACCACACACTTACAGCGACAGGCTGCCATACAGTACTGTATGAATGACTCTGCTGGAGGCACTTAGAAGTCCTCGGTTTGCTGTTCAAGTCTCTAACCTGTATCAGGGGGGATTTTAGTTGCAGCTTAATGCATAATGATAATGATGATGATGCTGATTATACTAATCTCAATTAAATAAAATCACTATTGCCTAATGATTTAAATTATTACAGTCTGTTTTGTGGTATTGGGGGACTTTTTATATGCTGTTTTCCTCAGAGCACTGTTTCAGTCAAAAACCACAGTGTCTCCAAGCCAACAAATAGCAAAATAAAAAAAGCAGAGACAAGGAGTTATCTTTGGATCATAACAAAGTGAACTGGGGAGCACGCCACACTTGTGATGTGGGCTTTGAAATGGTATTTTCTCTGTTTATGTTTTCCATCCAGCTGTGGGTTTAATTAGTTAATCACAGCCAGTGGGAATGTGATTAATGGCATGATTTGGCAGTGAGGGCAGGGTGGGTCGTTTGGATCGTGGCTGGGCTGTTGTAGTCTACCTCAGCCTTCCTGGGAGTTCACAGGGGAGGCGTGGTGTAGCTCATTGGCTAGAACAGAGAAGTGTGATTTGCATTGAAGAAGAGATGCATTGTGGGGGTTTTCCCCAGGGATGGGATGTGTATATACAGGTTAGCTGACAGCGTCACGACAATAATGGCCGCACTTCAATGGGGCAGAACGTTGTGTGTTGTTGTGATTCTGGATGGCCAGATAGCTAGCAAAAATAACAAGAAGCTGCCATGTGGAGAATCGTAGGTGTCTCGTTTCAGCTAGTTTCAACTTGTTCTTGATACCATGTCTTGTTTTGAGGTGTTTTTACTGATGTCAAGTCTATGCTAATATGGCTAAAATTCGCTAGCTAGCTAATCAACAACTGTAACAATGTATTTGAGAGACAACAAGTGCTCATTGTACAAATGTATTTATCTTTTCAATAAACATTGGAGATGAAATATAGTTGACATGTTCTCAACAATCTAAGCCAACCCTGTCTGCTTTGCCTCATTGTTGCGCGTGTGGCAGATTTGTGGCTAAATCACCAACCCATCTATAGACAGTGCTAATAACAAACATCCTCTCCCAATTATTTTTGAGATTCTTCAGGGCCAAGGAGAAGGAACACACAGGTTTTTAAATGGTAAAGTTCTGGTAAATACAGTGGTGACTTTTTAGTACAAATCTACAACAATATTAAAAATAACTGACAATTTTCAAAGCATTTTGTGGCTGTTGAGTTTTAGTAAAATAATAATTTATCTTCTCGCTCTGAACAAGCTGTGTTGCTGAGGTTTACAGCTGTCTGGTGTTCTTGTTGCTCGACCAAAGGAAAATCTGAGGTTTATGGCTCAATATTAACTTGGGTTATAATGGAAATACGTCCGGTAGGCCAAGTGGAGTTTAAAATAAAATGGAAAATGTGTTATGCCCGTATTTCAGGTCTCGAAAATGACCCAGGGACTAGAACCTACGACATGGATATTAACATTAATATTACCTCATCTAAATACAGTGTATAGAGCTAAAGGCATTTTATATACACCTGTGCATATATTAGATGATTGGCAGTAAATCAATGCAATACATTTCTGTTTGCTTGTGTTGGCAGATCCCAGAACCTTGTTTCTTGAATAGAGCAGTGTTTCTTTGTTGAGGCTTTTTGCTATTCAAGAGTTTAGGGTTAAACGTTACTCTTGTCTCAACTAGAATGCTGAGGTAATGCCTGGATTAGAGAACTTAACATTACATGACACATTACCGAGGACATAAATCAAAATGTTATGATGTTGATGCTGAAACTCTAGTCAGCTATTGCATTTGTTTGATGTTTTTTTAAGTTTGGTTGCTTTCACAGAATTTCACATTTTCACCAATTTGAGTGTCACCGGATGAAATACGATATGACATTTGAGAGATAATATAATACTGATCTATCAGGAGGTAGCTTCTTTCAAGTAACCAATCAGACTATGGGGTGCCTTCATTTTGGCCCATCAGAGGCGAGATGCAATACTTTACGGACCTATCAGGGGTGGAGAGGTACTTCTGTTTCTGGAACTTCTTCTCCAGGCCCATGAGTTGCAGCTCAGTGAAGATGGTGCGGCTGCGTCTGGGCTTCTTCAGTCGGGGGCTGCTGTGCTCCGTGTCTGACTCGCTGCTGATGCTGACGGGTGTCTCGCTGGGGGAGGGCTCGGAGACCCGGGAGCGGTGCTGGGGGGAGAGCAGGGGCAAGAGGGGAACCCGGCCGGGGGAGGAGGGTTGGGAGAGGTGAGGGGGCATGTTGGGGGGCTGCCGCGTGATGACTGAGAGGAGGGGGTAGGCCCGCAGTGAGGAGGATCCTAAAAGAGCAAAAAGAGATAGATCAGAGGTAAAATGCAGAGCAATAAATACTAATCTTATTTTTAGTAGTGGTTTTATTTGCTACTGTATGCATCACCATGGATGGTAGTTTTTATAGGCCTGTAATAATCACTTAGACTTTTTTAATAGCGACTTTTTTTACCATTAAAAGTGGTTCTGATCCTAATGACTCTGCTACTCTGAACCACCAATTGAATCATTATTGTTCCTGAGCCAGATAAATTATGTCTCTCTGCCACTCCGAACACACACACACACACACACACACAAACACACACACACACAGGGCTGTAAATCCAAAGTGACTATGCCCCTCGCCGTTTAACTCTCTCCCTCATGATTCCTCTTTCTCTCGTCTTGCTCCCCCCCCCCCCCCCCTCTCTTTATCTACGCAGACAGAATCAGCGAGACGCCAGAATCAATAAAAAGTAACCCACTGGAGCCAAGACCAAGGACGGCGCTCCAGCATAAACATAATATCTGGTGGAAAAAACCTTATGGCTTCAAATAAACAGCAGATCCCCATGGAATAATTTACAAGTGAACTAAGACTGACATAGAAACTAATGCTCTGTCTGCTATGTGGCAGGAGAGAGGGATGTGCTGAGGAAGAAGATAGAGAGAGAGATCAAATCCAACGACGGAGGAGAGAGGACATTATGCTGTCACATTACACACACAGCATACCCTTTCCCCTTATGTGTTCCTCACTGCCTGTGGTGGATCTGCCTCTCTTATCTCTCCATCAACTCATAAACAATATATATTATTCAAACCCTACACGTACAACTGAGAGGATACACCAGGCAGACCGTGGTCCTAAATTTGTATCCCCTTTCTCTGACATTTTCAGTAATGTTCTGCAGTTATGGGAGCTGGTGTGACAGGGGTTGGTTGGTCTGGGAGGTAATTGAGCATGTGTTCAGGCACATGGGGGGGAAAGAGGAGGGAGGTTACGCGTTGCAGCCTGCCCCTGCCATACATCCCCCTCTCTCTCAGACAGAGCCTGAGGCTCGTCCCTGTATACATGACATCATACATGACATCATCGCAGGGCACTGAGCTCATCACTAATCATCCACCTCGGAGAATCGCTGCTGCTGCTGCTGTCTGGACATGATGCCTCCTTCCCTCCACAATGCTCTCTCTCTTTTCTCTTTCTCTCTCTTCCTGTTTCTCTCCTATATTAGCTCTGTCTTTGATGTTGAGATTGTGACAAACTGAGGGGACCTGTGCAGATGTCCTAAATAACTAGTTTTTTATTAAATGGCATATTAATCTCTTTGTTACATTTTAATAGATATATTTATATTTCAGAAATATATTGGTATTATTATGGAATAATACAAAATACACAGAAATATCATAACATAATGAGTCCAAGTGAGTAATTGCTTCCTTTCACTTTAAATGAGAAGATTGATTGAAAAGCAAGGAAGAAAACATCTTGGTTTCTTTCACATTCTTCAGGAAATCTCCTGTCAATGCAGAGCTTGAGGTTGTCTTGAGAGTTGTGACAGCTGTGTCTTTTGGATGCTTGTCAGAAGGGAAAAATCAGACCTCATGATGACTTTCCACTGACAACTGAGCCAGCTTCCTGAGCCCAGATCTGACACATTGTTGACAAGCGCAAATGTCCGGTCAATAGTCTACAAATAAACCATTTGTGTGGCAGGGAGAGTGCACTCTGTCCATGCTAAAGCACACTGATACTCTTGACAAGCACAATTGGAATGCTCGGACTGGCACATGTGCTTGTGGTAGTCATTACAGAAGAAATACTTCCTAATAATAGATCAAGAATAGGCTGGTAGCATTTGATACACACATGCCTGTTTATCATACGGTATCGATAATGTAATGGCCCTCCTGTAGCTCAGTTGGTAGAGCATGGTGCTCGCAACGGCAGGGTTGTGGGTTCGATAACCACGGGGGGCCAGTATGAAAAATGTATGCACTCACTAACTGTAAGTCGCTCTGAATAAGAGCGTCTGCTAAATGACTAAAATGTAAATGTTATTGAAGTTTTTAAAAATATAGATTTTTACTGTTTCAATTAAATTGTATATATCATTTGAAGGCTTTGATAACGGCAGTGTGTGTGTGTGTGTGTGTGTGTGTGTGTGTGTGTGTGTGTGTGTGTGTGTGTGTGTGTGTGTGTGTGTGTGTGTGTGTGTGCGTGTGTGTGTGCATCAATGCTTACTGTGTTAACAGAGGCATGATCCTACTCCTCAAGCTAGCCTCGTGGTTAATAGCAGGCCTTATTGTCTGTGGTGGAGTAGCTGTTAAGATGGGATGAAAACTCTTTGCTCTTCCTGCTTTCTTCCCTAAACCCTCAGAGGACTATGCTGCAGTACCTGGTCCCCTCAAGGTCCACACCCTCCGATTTGGCAGTTTTTCATCACGCTGTCATGTGAGATTACGCCGGAGTTGATCTTTATCTCTCTCACCTCCATCCAGAAATCCCACTAAAAGCCTTGCCCTGGGTTCTGCTGAGAGATGAGACTCCAAATGAAATATTGTAACCTGCCATTACACTGTTCACTGCTCCCCAGCAAGATAACGATCTGCTGGAGGTCAGGTCTGTTTAGCAGGTCTATCGCTCCTGTAGTTTTACAAGGCACAAAACGAGAGCAGAGAATACGCTCTGAGTTCATCAACTGGTTTTACTGTGTACACTGTCGTAAGGGCATTTGGCTTGGCACAGGTAAATGGACCGTTGTGAAACGTAAAGCAGGGAGCATAGAGGCGTGATCCGTGACAGACAAAATCATCACAGAGCAGAGGGGGTTGCCGGATCAAAGAGAGGAGTAATCGCTTTGTTGACATGTTGAGTGGCATCCTACTAGTTGATGCCATATTACATCAAGAACAAACAAACAGCTTGTCATTTGGGTAAAAGCCCTCCAGGCCTCACAGCCTGGTTTGTTGCCTGCCCGGCACCACTGTCCTATAGCAGCCTCTACTGGTAACTGCTGGAGCAGAAACTCCACACTGGAAAAATATAGACTCCACTTTCACTGATGGGGACCACATCGGGCCAATGGCCTTTCACTAGCTCTGGGCCTATAAGCCTGCCAGCTTCTATATTGAGCGTTACAAGCCATTGAAGTGCGGGACTATACTGTGTCTCACACCCCCTCAGCTACGAATAAGTAATGGGCACTGGGTAGTGAGATGTGGGCTGGTTACTCTATCCATCCATCACGGGGTTGCCAAACCCTTTACAGTGCCCTCTAGCACACCCCCAAACCCCACATCGCATGCTATTTATACCTTTGTCGCTGTCATCATCAAATTGCAGCGGCTATTATTTCATAGTTTAGGCAATTATCATAATGATGACTTGAGAGAGCAGTAGTCAATGTTGTGTTGACTCATAACAATAGGATAATGCATTAAGAATGGTTTTAGAAATGCTGCTGCATTTGAAGGACAGAAATGTGATAGTCTTTCATGCCAAATGGTTTTTAGGGAAATTAATTTGTCTCTTTCCTGTATAATCATAATACAGAGGTGGAAGCTTTTATGACTGACTGCAGAACAACAGTAATTGTGTGGAAATCACAGTTAGTAAGCCATGATAAGTGGGAAGAAAAAGGAGTTGATGTTGATGATTTAAAGAAATCAAGTGCCGCTAGATGATTTGTGAACAAAGCATTATCTGTGTCTTCACACTTTGTGGCAATGTTTTGTTTTGTTGCTTTTTCAAATCTGTTTGTATTGATTAAGGAAGAACATGCAATCATTATTTTATGCAATAATTATTTGTTTTGATTGGCCCTTCGGGATACTGAATGAAGAATGAAGTTAGTCTTCCTCACTGAAACAGTTGGATCAAGTGCACGTAACCCATGAATTGATGAGTTGTGCTGCAATTCATGAGATGACAATTGCAATGAATCTCTCTTCACAAAGCAACATACGTCTATGAATAAAGGTCATTGGGGCTGACTTACACACTTCATCACCATACTGTAACCGTTCATGGTGTTTGCACAATCAACTGTAGTGTCAGGCAGACACATGTCCATCAATGATGACATACTAACCTTGCCCTTAACCACTATGTACCTGACCTCATCAATATCAAACCGTGGAACTCTGGCCACATCCTGCACCCACATACACCCAGAAAGAGAGTTGGGTAGAGGGCATTGCCCATGCTTCAGTAAATGCAAAGTAGCAGCAGTAAAAGTAATTAGGCAAGGCTCTGGGTTTAGCACAACGCCAACATTAATCCTGAATGAGGACAAGTGGCCTAGTGGTTACGGCTCTAGAAACCAAAACCCTGCTGTTTCAACTAAGTGCAGGGTTGGTTGTTGTGTGTTCTGAGTTCATGTCTTTTGTCAGAAGAGAATATGTCAAGTTGACAGTGTCAACATAATTAACGGGGAATCACGTTTCACTATACAAACCGCATTGATCACAAAACTGGGGCTTGGTTCATCCTGTATCTTTAACATGAACATAAAAGACTGAGACTGAAAATTATCTGAATCTCAGAGTAATATATTAGACTAATAATCTAGACTGATTGGAGGGATTTGCTGATTGCTTGTGAGACAGTATATTGTGGAATTGTTAAATAACTTTTATAGGCCCCAGTGCATTATGTTTTATTTGTGAATGAAATAACATGGAAATGACAGTTAAACTGTGAAATAATGTTTTGGGTTGGAAAAGGGTTAAATCATTTCTGCTGTTGTAAAATGAAATTAAAACGATCAAGTCTAACAAATAGGTTACTACAACACTTTGGGGGTCTACATTACATCTACTGTACCTGTTGCATTTATTTGGTGTTCTTGATTTCATTATTTCACGGGTTAAAGTTACATGACAAATCCCTGTAAATAGCAGGCTATCACAATAGTAATATAGACCTTTGATAAATATAGATAGCAGGCCTAACACGAATATAAAGGCGCACCATGAGAAAAAGTGCAAGTGAGGACAGTCACCTGAATTAATTTTACATATGGTCCATTTCTATAGTGCGCGTCTCGCATTGGTAAACTTCAACATTAATTGACAATCATGACTTCTAATGTGATTCTGGACCTGTCCCTGTTCCTTATTTTTTTATATTAGAGTAGATTTATCGAACATAAAGTAATGCAAATGCAGCTCAATTTCTCTCAAGCTGTTAATTGACATGTAATAGATTCTGCACAGGTGTGTTGCGCCATGTTATGGTCTCTACTGACAATTGAATGTAAGATACTTTGTCAATACTCCTAATATAACCATTAGCCTTATGTATTTCGTGATATGAGTAGACCCATGACGGATGACCGCCTGAACGTTACAGAAGAATAAGAAGAATATGCCTAATATCTCACTTTGTACATGAAAAAACAAAATCCAATGTAGTTTTAATACAATGATGATTAGCATTCACTGCATGCATAGCAATATTATATATAAACCATTAACACCATTATGCAATCATCAGCATCCCTTGATTTGACTGAGAGTTCAAGCATATTCACTTACCCGAACATGAGTGCAGAGGTTTAGGCCTAACGATGAGTGAAGGGCATACTGAGTAAAGAGAAAGTTTCTCGAAGTAATCACAAGTTTCCTTGGAAAGAATTTCGTCAATCATAAAAGTCTTGTAGCGACGCCTGGCTGCTTTCTGCTGCCCAGGGGAGGAGAGTCTCAACTCGGCTTGACAGTGCATTATGTTCCGATGTGCTTGGCTTTCGCACAGTGCCCAAATATTAGTTCAAAATGTCAAAATGAAACCAGTTCAAACTTGAGAGTTGGGTGTCTTCAAGAGAATCCGTTTTATTGATGCATTTTAGTGTTCCGTTTTCAGAATAGGCTTGTTTTGTTCTATCCTTGGGCCGTACTAACTGCAGTAGCCTTCAACTTCAGCCGCGCAGTGCGCTTCAGAGTGGTTATTATGAACTGAGTGTAATGTGCCCGGACGCGCGGCTATATATTAACGATCTCCCCATACACATCTTTACTGCATGACACTTCAGATGTCAATCAACGTCTCTCTCTCTCGCTCTCTCTCTCTCGCACTATCTCTCCATGACTGACAGACACACTCTCTCTCTCGCTCAACCCCTCTCGCTCTCTCAGAACAGCCCAAACCGGTCTCGCTCCTTTGTTCTTCCCTTTGCACTCTAACTGCACAAGGAGTTGAAAAACTTTACAGTAGTAACATTAGCCATATTATACAATATTTCAGATGACCATTGGGAGGTTTTATTACTATTAGCATTAGCATTAGCATTATTACTATCTGCTTTAGTGTTAGGCCTATCCTCTTAGCAGCTAATTATTGTGTTCATATTATTTCTCGAAAATCAATAGGACTACTGATTTTGAGACGCAACTCAAACTCAGAAATGACCTGGATCTGCATAGTGGATTATAGCCTACTAAATATAATGAATTTAAATGTTCGGTAATTCAAAAGCATGATATTTTGTCACAGGCGTATTGTGTTAGGCCTAACTGGTGGGATTACGATGAATGTAGGCTATTTAATGCATTTGGGCTCACACATAAATCAAAAATATGTTATTATTATTATTATTGTAATAGCTATTCTTTAAAAGCAATTAAGGGATTAGAAAAACTACTATTAACGACTATACTAACTGGTGGGATTAACATGAATGAATGTATAGGTAGGCTACGTATGAATTAATGTATTTAATGCATTTGGCCTTACACATGAATCAAAAACATATTATTATAATAGCTATTATTTAAAAGCAATTAAGGGATATGAAAAACGACTTTAAACGACTATAAACGAACAGTAACACTACACATGTTTTGCAGTGCAACCCTGCTTTCAGACTACAGCGAGTATAATGTATTGCAGCAGGTTGGTATTCTTCATTCTTGTGGAGTTGAAAGACGACCTTTTTAGGGTTTGTCATTTTCTTATGTACTTGTTTTACGATCGTCTTTTTCTATTAATAAATTACTTTTGCAGCCTAACACAATAACACACTAACGGTATTTTTTTTAATGGTATTTGCAGATTATTATTATTATTATTATTATTATTAATAATATTTTAATATTTTTGTTATTGTGCAATTATTTGTTTGGTATTTGTACATTATGACGTTTTAACGATTTGTAGTCCTATTCGTCAACGAATTTAACGTTAAAACCAAAACGTTATGGCATGGATATATTTTCAAGGTAAGTAAACGACGGACATTACAAACACAAAGACGCGGTTTAAGCAACTTTATGTTCCTTTTTACTTGCCAAGAAAAATTACGTCATTCAAAGATGTATTATTAACCCTCAATTTAACTTCTGGCTTTATTACTATCAAGTGTTGTCGAATACCTACTGGCTATAGGATAACTGCCTAAAAACGAATACCTATCTATTTTACAATGAAGCGCGGAGAGGCCTAGGCAATTTCTGTTTCGTTTGTGGGTAACTGCCCAGACACAGGCCTACTTTCTTTCACATTTTAACTTTGGGATTTAGACAATTTAATTTAAATAAAATCATATATATTATTTAATTGATTTCACCAGGAAATAAACGGTTGTAGGCTATATTTTAATCAACTGCAGGGCCATCGAAAGTAATTATAGAAAATAGGACTAAGTATACAAGAACACTGATAAATCAGTAGGCTTAGAGAAACACATTTTATGCAACAGTTTAGGCTTTTGTCAGAAATAGTTCTATAGGTGACTGAGAACAATACTCCAACCGATGCTAAAATGTCCAATAATACAACCTATTATCTTACTCATGAAGTGAGTTAATTCATATCAACGCCCAAAAATCCCATTATAACCATTTAATTACTAGTTACAGATACAAGGGAAATGAGTAATCACTCACACACCAATTGACAAGTGTGATTCCTTAGCTGGCAGGCTGCATATTTTCCGTATGTTTTCCAATATGCCTTCAGGGGCTTCGTTTTGGTTGGACGAGGAAACTTCAACGGCGCTCCACGTTTGCTCTCAGTGGAACCTTTAAAAGGTATTCTAAAAAAGTGCAGATAGATTCCTGCTGAAGTATCATAAACTGAGATTGTAATACAACATATTTAATTCAAAGTTACAGATAGGCTATAATGAAAATGTAGGCTAATAGATCACCCGATTGCTTTCCTGAAACGGCTCAGATAACCATTTGCTGAACTCAATGTGCAGTTCAAAGGACATGATGTACATTTCAGATGGCTCATTTTATTCTGTGTGTTTAAGCAGAAGAGAGACCACAGCAGCGGTAACATCAGAGACGATAGTGTCAAGTTTACACTTTGAAATGATGGCCTGAACAGAAATGATTATCATTTTCCCAAGCCGTGGAGGCAAATATAACTCACTGCCAGTGGCGTGTATTTATGGGTGCCAAGGGAAGCCAGGCTTCCCCAAAAAATTGACCAAGATTTTTTTTTTTTTTTTTTATCTTTCGTCTTTCATAATGTTCCTTCAATTCGCAAAAGGCTGAATATATCTCACAGGAGAAAGCATCTGAGATAGGGAAACAGCGCCCCGCTGTCTCTCTACATGTAGGCCATCTATCTGATTCTGTCTGGTCCAAACGAGTATGACATTGTTGCCGCCGGTAGAATTGAAGGCAAGGGAAGCCAGCTAGCATCTGGCCTCCCTTGACAAAAACAAGTATAAATAATTAGCCAATCAGCGTTGAGCTAATCTGAGCGAGCTGGGGCACCAAAAATTAGTGTCAAGGGAAACCAGCTTGGATTTGGCATCATGCCTGTCAAATCCCATTGAGAGCATAAGTCACTGACAGAAAAACTTGAAATGCTGCATCTGGTTGTATTGTTGTGCTCCCTGTGGCTAGCTAGCCAGCTAGCTAAAATTGGCTCTTTCCTAAATTAGCCATGGATGGAGATAGGGATTTGAATTTGTGGTTTTACTTAATTCTCCATACTGGCCAATGATTACAAAGGCGATTCTGATCCAACCATTAATTTATACATTGTTGTGCCCCTGGCCTGAGAGGATGGAAGTGCAATATGTAGCTAGATGTAGAAGGCTAATGTTAACAAGCTAACATTGCCCATGATTGGAAGTTATGTTAGTGAGCAAGCACTTTAGCCAGGTAGCCTAGGACAACAAAAAATAAAAGTGTGTGCTGTATTACAGAGTGAGGATGACATTGGCATTATTCTCTACAAGTAGGGTGAGTCAATATGTTTTCTACTTGCACTAACGCGCACACACACACACAGGCACACAGAAATCAGAACCATGGACAGCCACATCATATTTAGCTAACGTTGATTGGACTAAATTGTTTTTGGTATAATTTAGTTGTCACTGTATTAGACTAATGTTACGAACCGGCTCGTAGCCCATAACAAAGAGGGAGACAAAGCGGAGATACAGAAATAACAAAAATATATTTATTAAATAAAGTAACCTATATACAAGTAACAATGGTGTGTGTAGTCCGTAGTGTAAGTGAGTGGATGCATGCATGCATATATGGTGATAATGAGGGGTGTTGAGAGGTGCCAAAATAAACTAACACATATTCCTCCTCGTCTGTAAACCTGCAGACACAGACACAAAAGTGAGCAGTTCAGTCATCTGCACCCAATACAGCCATCCTTCAACATTTTCTTATAGCCTACATATTCTTACCTCTTTGTTGATGGACATCAATTGAATTGTGTCCATTTTCTGTTTTAAAAAGATTTGCACAAATATGAAAAGATAAATGGTATCATCATAAAACAATATAAATTTAGATCATATAAGGGTCAAACCTTACCTTAAATTGAGGAGATCTTTACATTGTTCAGTTAAGTGCCTGCACCTGCTGTCCTTTCAAATTAAAATCCAAAGGTTTCAGTTGGGCAGTTAGGTTCCTGCAAGAACCCCCACCAACTAAAGAGGTTCCTCAATGGACCCCACCTCTTATAGGGTTCTTGGAATAACCTTTTTGGGGACATTTTCAGTTTCAAGAACCCTAAGGTTCTTTGAAGAACTTTGAGGATCTTAGAAGAACCCTTGTTGAACCCCTAATTTTTTGAGTGTGTGTCTGCGTGGAGAGTCTCTCCTCGAAATATGGGGGAAAGGTGTATTTAACCCCGGGACACACCCGAGCCCAGGTGTGTCCCATTTCGCTGACAACCCTCCCAGCTCCGCCCACTGACATCCTATTAAGGAAAACAAGCAGAGAGAAAGAATACAGCAGACAGAGAGGGAGGGTCGTCACACTAAGCAGAGGTGATTTGGTGATGTTGAAATGTTGAAATTGAAATGGTGCTGGAATAGTGGAGGCAGCTCCTGTTTTCTTTGCGACTTGCGGTGACTCTCTGTGGTTTTAAATCAATAGTTGTTTAGTGGTCCGCTTGCTTGACCATGCTGTAGATCATGATGTGGATCATGTAACTGTCTGTTACTATACATGCAATATGCTTTGTGGACTTCACTGGACAGATGTTGCTCTCCGGTTTTGTGATAAAGCAAAGGTGTGGTTGAATTTATTCTGCCACTGTGTCTTCTTATTGTCTCTGCCTTTAGGCCTATATAGCGCATTCGGAATGTATTCAGAACCCTTGACTTTTTTCACATTTTGTAACATTACAGCCTTATGCTAAAATTGATTAAATTAATTGTTTTCCTAATCAATCTACACACAATACCCCATAATGACAAAGCAAAAACAGGTTTTCAGAATTGTTTGCAAATTTATAAAAAAAACGAATAACTGAAATATCATATTCAGACCCTTTACTCAGTACTTTGTTGAAGCACCTGTGGCAGCAATTACAGCCTTGCGTCTTCTTGGGTATGACGCTACAAGCTTGGCACACCTGTATTTGGGGAGTTTCTCCCATTCTTCTCTGTAGATCCTCTCAAGCTCTGTCAGGTTGGATGGGGAACGTCGCTGCACAGCTATTTTCAGGTCTCTCCAAAGATGTTTGATCGGGTTCAAGTCCGGGTTCTGGCTGGGCCACTCAAGGACATTCAGAGTCGTGTCCCAAAGCCACTCCTGCGTTGTCTTGGCTGTGTGCTTAGGGTTGTTGTCCTGTTGGAAGGTGAACCTTCGCCTCAGTCTGAGGTCCTGAGTGCTCTGGAGCAGGTTTTCATCAAGGATCTCTCTGTACTTTGCTCCGTTCATCTTTCCCTCGATCCTGACTAGTCTCCCAGTCCCTGCCGCTGAAAAACATCCCCACAGCATGATGCTGACACCCCCATGCTTCACCATAGGGATGGTGCCAGGTTTCCTCCAGACGTGACGCTTGGCATTCAGGCCAGATAGGTTAATCTTGGTTTCATCAGACTAGAGAATCTTGTTTCTCATGGTCTGAGAGTCCTTTAGGTGCCTTTTGGCAAACTCCAAGCGGGCTGTCGTGTGCCTTTTACTGAGGAGTTGCTTTCGTCTGGCCACTCCACCATAAAGGCCTAATTGGTGGAGAGCTACAGAGATGGTTGTCCTTCTGGAAGGTTCTCCCATCTCTACAGAGGAGCTCTGGAGCTCTGTCAGAGTGACCATCGGGTTCTTGGTCACAATCGGGTTGGCTTCCCCAGTGATTTTACCCACGCACCGCTACTGCTCACTGCAGACCCTATGTAGATTACAGCCGCCATTTTCAAAGTGTGAAGGATTACGTGGAAGAAAACATGGAGCTCTGCATGGAAAAGATTGGGCTCTTTTGGGTTTGATGGCTTGATGAAAGGGAAAAGATGAGAACAACTGTGAGAGGCTGCTGCTGTCTTTAGAGTTGGGAGGCTGGAGGGACGGAGGCGTGTCATTGGGAGGCAAAGGGGGTGTGGATACTTTGGCACCAATGAACCCTGCAACCTGAGTGCAAGGATTCGGGTTGATGGAAGCAGGCTCCTGGGCTGCAGGGAGGGAATGGGAAGGGGGGGTTGGTAGATCATTTTATGGACGTGCTTCTATAGAAAGGCTCGTCATGCACCCCAAAATCTGAGGGGGCACAAAGTACATGGGGGTGGCTGGGCTGGCTGGTTTGGCACCATCTGTAAATTTGAGAATTTAGCATTTTTCAAACACTTGAAACAGCTTTTTCCTGCAATCTAGAGCCATAATCATTACGCTTAAGTTTATGTAAAAAATATGTTACTTTTTTCTGCATATCTAAGCATACCTCTTGAGCAGTCTGTAAACTCTTGACTGGTGGTTAAAAATAAAAAATAAATAAAAAAATGCTTCTCTGCATCTCTGCTAAAATCTGGGTAAAAGATTGAAAGGAATGCGAGTCTTATTCAGTACATTTAGTAATTGCTTGTTTTTCTAATGTCTACCAACCTTGCCAGTAAGCATGCCAGCTAAGATAGACAATAGCTACTCTGACTCGTTTGATAGCCTGAAATTGATTATTGGTAGCTAGTTATGAGGTTGGGCAACTGGGAACCTATCTGGGCTAAAGCCAACTTTATAAAATTGCTAGGTGGCTAGTAGTATTACAGAGAAACAATAAACAGGACAAATCTGAGGTGGTACGTACCCCTATGCATGATGCCTCTGCCTTTGAATCCACACAGGAGCGGCCACTGACTGGGTCTCTAATCCGTCTGCTCTAGGGCTAGAGACTCCTAGCAGTTTAATTAAAAACAGTTAGGCCCCAGCCAGCAGGGGTAATTACGGCCTTCCCAGTACTGCCTGTGACAGGGAACTGAGGATACTCTTCATTAGAGCCACTTCCAAGCATCAGGGCGGAATCTGACACTTGCCAGATTACAAGCAAGACAAAGGGTTTACTGTAGTGGGAGCAAATGCACCTCTACTTTTGAACCCAGAGCTTTATTGGGGATGTACATGTTGATACACAACGGGAGCCGTTGTTAGCGGCCTAAGCACTTTCGGAAGGGTAGATTATGACCTCAACGTGGACATTAAGGGATTTTGGCAGGCACTTTGCTGTAAGCAACACTTGGTACAGGCAACACAGGGGCATCACGTACAGCAGGGCCACTAACTGTAACATGAGATCTCAAGCCTGGGCTGAAACAATGACCAAAGTAAAACTATTCCAATGGCTGTAAAATAGTTTTAAATCATATCCAATTGTTACCAGGCATTAAAGATATATCCTACCATGATCCCAAGTTTGTATAAATCAGAAATAACACCTAATTTGGTTGCTCAAGTGATGAGAAGGTGACACTTCTAGGCTACATGTCAACAATGATATGATTGTTCCACCATCTTGAAAATAGTTAGATCGCACGGAATGTAAAGAGAATATACACTGCCGTTCAAAAGTTTGGGGTCACTTAGACATTTCCTTGTTTTCCATTAAAACATACATGAAATGAATTTGAATAGGAAATATAGCAAAATGCATAGGAAATGTAGTCATTGACAAGGTTAGAAATAATGATTTTTAATTGAAATAATAGTGTCCTTCAAACTTTGCTTTCGTCAAAGAATCCTCCATTTGCAGCAATTACAGCCTTGCAGACCTTTGGCATTCTAGTTGTCAATGTGTTGAGGTAATCTGAAGAGATTTCACCCCATGCTTCCTGAAGCACCTCCCACAAGTTGGATTGGCTTGACGGGCACTTCTTACGTACCATACGGTCACGCTGCTCCCACAACAGCTCAATAGGGTTGAGATCCAGTGACTGTGCTGGCCACTCCATTATAGACAGAATACCAGCTGACAGCTTCTTCCCTAAATAGTTATTGCATAGTTTGGAGCTGTGCTTTGGGTCAATGTCCTGTTGTAGGAGGAAATTGCCTCCAATCAAGCGCCGTCCACAGGGTATGGCATGGCGTGGCAAAATGGAGTGATAGCCTTCCTTCTTCAAGATCCCTTTTACCCTGTACACATCTCCCACTTTACCACCACCAAAGCACCCCCAGACCAGCACATTACCTCCACCATGCTTGACAGATGGCATCAAGCACTCCTCCAGCATCTTTCATTTGGTCTGCGTCTCACAAATGTTCTTCTTTGTGATCCGAACACCTCAAACGTCAATTTGTCTGTCCATAACACTTTTTTTCCAATCTTCCTCTGTCCAGTGTCTGTGTTCTTTTGCCCACCTTAATATTTTCTTTTTATTGGCCAGTCTGAGATATGGCATTTTCTTTGCAACTCTGCCTAGAAGGTCAGCATCACGGAGTCGCCTCTTCACTGTTGACGTTGAGACTGGTGTTTTGCGGGTACTAATTAATGAAGCTGTCAGTTGAGGACCAGTGAGGCGTCTGTTTCTCAAACTAGACACTCTAATGTATTTGTCCTCAGTTTTGCACCAGGGCCTCCCACTCCTCTTTCTATTCTGGTTAGAGCCAGTTTGCGCTGTTCTGTGAAGGGAGTAGTACACAGCGTTGTACGAGATCTTGTTTCTTGGCAATTTCTCGCATGGAATAGCCTGCATTACTCAGAACAAGAATAGACTGACAAGTTTCAGAAGAGAGTTCTTTGTTTCTGGCCATTTTGATTCTGTAATCGAACCCACAATACTCAACTAGTCTCAAGAAGGCCTTCTTTAATCAGCACAACAGTTTTCAGCTGTGCTAACATAATGACAAAAGGGTTTTCTAATTATCAATTAGCCTTTTAAAATGATAAACTTGGATTAGCAAACACAACGTGCCATTGGAACACAGGACTGATGGTTACTGATAATGGGCCTCTGTACGCCTATGTAGATATTCCATTAAAAATCTGCCGTTTCCAGCTACAATAGCCATTTACAACATTAACAATGTCTACACTGTATTTCCGATCAAGTTGATGTTATTTTAATGGACAAAAAAAATTGCTTTTCTTTCGACAACAAGGACATTTCTAAGTGACCCCAAACTTTTGAACGGTAGTGTACATATATGATTCACCTTTTCTGTGTAACTTGCCTATGTAGAACGGTTAGGTGACAGAACATAAGCCTTCACTTTAATGAGCATGCTAAATAGACAAGAGTAGGCTACAGAAGATCAGGTGGCTTAGTCATCTTCATCATCCTAATTGATTCAATAAAGGGGTGTGTGTGGCACCACCTGCAGATTACTTTCTAACCCACTGCACAAGCATATTGGTTACGCATGGTCCATTTTCAGAGACAGCAGACGAGCCAGGCATGTGTGCATGCATAACTGCATAGTTCACGTCTGTGATCTCAGTCACACTTCTGTAAAAAGTACCATTTGTTTCAACAGTTCATTGATATTTTTATAGTAATGCTTTTCCTGTAAACATTAGACCACAAAACGTGTGTTGACTAAACTGATTTTTATGCTTATATTTCATAAAAATGATCTAGTTTCACATGTACATGGAATCGGATGGGCATCTTACAATTGTAAAGTATTCTCAAATTAAGAGAGACTAATGCAAAGTCACGCTTGCAATTTAAGTTGTACCAAACACAATATAAGAAAAACAGTCAATTTCAGCCTATAGAGTAAGTGTTGCTGGTGGAATTAGACTACATAGGTGAAATATGCCAAGAGAGTTCCAAATTCTTATTTTTAAATACCTGAGCAATTTACCACTAAAAACTGTTGAGCACCATACCTTGTAGACAGGAAATTTGCATGGTAATATCAATTCGTGACAAACACAGCTAATCTTTTCAAACATAAAACTAAATGGAAAACAACTCCTTCAGTGATGATAGATTTAACAATTCCCCAGGGGATGGTATAAACATCTATTAACTCCAATAAAACATTTTTAAAGTCATCACAGTAAAACAATTGTGGAAAACCTCATGGGTAAAAAAAGTCATCAATTTTTTGTTTTTACTTGGACACAGTCCAGTGTATTTAAAAAATGGTCAATATCATCCTAAACATGACTAATTGATTGTTTTAAAAAACAATGCATCACCTGAGCTTGTAATTGTGTTTTTTTCTCTCATAAAATTAATTATTAATTCTGTTTTGATCAGGATTTACAATGAGTATGTGACAAATCCTGTAAAATAATTATAAAATATATGTCCTTTAAAAAGTGAAAAATATTCACAAAACAGTCCTTAAAAATTCCCATAGTGCATCAGTATCGTCTCCACCGGCCATCTCTGGAGCCGTCCCTCCACCGGTCATCTCTGCTACGGCCGCCTCCGCTGCTCCCGCTCCTGTCGTCATGGTGATAGTGTTCACCTCGCTGGTCATCTCGCTGGCTGCGACGTTGGCGGTTGGAGCCGGTGTCATCAGAGCCTCCTGGGTAGCGCTGGTCCCTGCCATAGTGGCTGCTGTTGTCCTGCTGGTACCCCTGCCTGTTGCCTCGCTGTGAGGAGCTGTCCTGTTGCCAGGACCCACCACCACTCTGTGGATGCTGTGGTGGTGGCTGCCCCAGAAGTCCGATACCGCCGGCTGGGAAGCCTCCATTCACCCCCTGGAGCTGCCACATGTTGTTCATCTGTTTAAAGGGACCAAAAAGCATCACTTTTACTGATCCATGTAGACTGGTTAAATGATCATGATACAGGCCACATAGCTATGTAGTAAAGTGTGTCATATGCACAGGATACACATGGTACACGGTACATTGAAATGGTTACTTGCAGGTTCACGTCGCAACATTGTGACATAAGTGTCAGTCTACTGGAGATGAGGATAGTGTTGAATTTAATGGCTTGACAAGAGTAATGGACAAGAGTAGCTCAGTTGGTAGAGCATGGCGCCTGCAACGCCAGGGTTGTGGGTTTGATTCCCACAGGGGGCCAGTATGAAAAATGTATGCACTCACTAACTGTAGTCGCTCTGGATAAGAGCGTCTGCTAAATGACTAAAATGTAAATGTAAAATGAAGGTAAACTCACCATGGCCTGTCTCTGCAGATTATCAGGAGAGGAGAAGGACCTCTGGATGGACCCCTGGTCTGGGCTCTTGTCATACCTGCACAAGAAACATGGCATTCCATATCAAACAAATAGAGGCTATTGATGCACAAAAACATCCCCTGCATATGCATACTAACATTGTTTTGGAGGATTTTGCATTATGTTACAACATACCTGCCCCCAGCCCCATGTGGATTGGGAGTATTCACAGGGCTTTGATTCTGGGAGTTCCCTGGGCTGTTAATGTGACTGCTTCCTGTAAATATGTATCAAAGAATGAGTTCAGTTGCAGGCAGACCCAAGTGAACCATTAGCAAGTCAATTCATATAACTAGAAAGGGGTTTACATTAGTTTACCTGCTCTGAACTGTACTTTGAGAGTTCTTCCGAATAGAGTTGCCCCATTGAGCAGGTTCATGCCATAGGGTACGGACACCTCATGCTTGAAACAGACAAATCCAAACGCTTTCTGTTTTCCATCATTGTCTTTTGGGATTTTCACTTTGAACAGAGGTCCTGCCTGCAAAGAGAAAACACAAAACAGACGATGGAGAACACAACTGTAAAATGAAAGTTATCCAGTTTGCTCGCGGACTTGGAGGTGTGCTAGCTCTGGTCCACGCGCATGCATCGGATCTACACTGCATGTGCATCCGACGCATGCGCGAGGACCTGCTCTGAAGTGGTTTATTTCGTGTTTTGGAAAAACGAAACCAAAGATGTTCTAACGTTCTCATTGTTCTATCTGTGACGAAATCATGCGGGCGGGCGGGTCTATTAAAGGCGACACAGATCAGAGGCAACTTGTAGTCGTCATACAATGGACCAGAGCTAGATATGTGTTCGCTAATATAACATTAGCTAGGTAACGTAGTTGCTGCAAACGAGTAGGTAGTTATCTAAGGCTGAATGAACTATATTGATCTGTATAGCTAGATAATTACACGGGTCAGAAGTTTCCACACCATAATTGTCAAATACTGAGAAAGTATCGCAATTTATTTAGCTAGCTAACGTTAGCTATCGTAGCGTAGCTAGCTAGTTCAAAGCTACTGCACCTGTAAAAATAGCTCGAATAAAAGTTCTTCCGTCACTTTTGGATCCAAATTTCCAACAAAGAGAGTCCTGTCTGCTTCATCCGCTACTCCCATCTCGTTTTAATTATACCTAATGCACTTTATCGGGATGTAAATTTGTAAACAAATGACAATGCTGCGATTTTTATACAGGAGTTACGTGGTACGGCCGTAAAGCAAAACTGCCATAATTCGTCAACTCGAGTTGCAATAACCATCAGGTTTTGCGACATATTACCTTGAGCTCCAGTAAAAAAGAAAAATGAGCATGCCATCAAATAACCAGTGGTGGAAAAAGTACCCAATTGTCATACTTGAGTAAAAGTAAAGATACCTTAATAGAACATGACTCAAGTGAAAGTCACCCAGTAAAATCCTACTTGAGTAAAAGTATTTGGTTTTTAAATATACTTAAGTATCAAAATAAAATGTGTAAATCATTTCAAATTCCTTATATTAAGCAAACCAGAAGGCACCATTTTCTTGTTTTTTATTTATTTACCGATAGCCAGGGGCACACTCCAACACTCAGACATCATTTACAGCCAGATCAGAGACAGTAGGGATGACCAGGGATGTTGTCTTGATACATGTGTTAATTAGACCATTTTCCTGTCCTGCTAAGCATTCAAAATGTAATAAGTACTTTTCGGTGTCAGGGAAAATGTGTGGAGTAAAAAGTACATAATTTTCTTTAGGAATGTAGTGAAGTAAAAGTTGTCAAAAATATAAATAGTAAAATAAAGATACCCCAAAAAACTACTTAAGTAGTACTTAAGTATTTTTGTTAATTACTTTACATAACTGCAAATAACATGTAATTAGTTGAGTACAAATGCGCTTCACCCCCATTAACTTCCTGTCAAGTTTGTATTTACTGAATGTTACTACACGCTGAACATCATGCAAGGATTCCTGAGCCTCCCCGGAGCTGCGGTTTCGTCTCTCTCTCGCACCTGCTGTCTCGTCCTCTGATTGCTCGGCTATGAAAAGCCAACTGACATTTACTCCTGAGGTGCTGACCTGTTGCACCCTCTATAACCACTGTAATTATTATTTGACCCGGTTGGTCATCTATGAATGTTTGAACATCTTGAAGAATGATCTAGCCTTAATGGCCATGTACTCTTATAATCTCCACCAGCACAGCCAGAAGAGGACTGGCCACCCTGCAGAGCCTGGTTCCTCTCTAGGTTTCTTCCTAGGTTCCTGTCTTTCTAGGGAGTTTTTCCCTGCCAACGTGCTTCTACATCTGCATTCCTTGCTCTTTGGGGTTTTAGGCTGGGTTTCTGTATAAGCACTTTTGTGACGAGTACTGAGGATACGAAGAGGTAGGACGCAGACATCAACTATGTAAAGGTTTACTTAACACTGAGCAAGGGAACAACAAAGAGTGAGTACACAACATGACACTAACAATCACACACCACAGAACAGGGGCTATATAAGGGTGGTGAAGAGATGAGGTGCAGGTGCGCTGGAGGTGATTAGGGTGCGTTGGGTTTCCATTCTGGTGTTGCCGAGGTGGTGCGCGCAGACCGGTGGCTCAGTAGACCGGCGAATCAGAGCGAAATTGGGCCCACCTGGCTTGGCGAGATTTCATCCGTTTTGCTGCCTGTATGTGCTCCAAATTCCGGTGGTCAGTGAGAATCCGGAATGGATGGACTGCGCTCTCCAGCCAGTGTCTCCATTCCTCCAGAGCAAGGACCACGGCCAACAGCTCCCTGTCTCCAACTCCATAGCTCCTCTCTGCGGAGGTAAGCTTTTTCGTGAAAAAGGCACAGCGATACATTCTCTGGGTTAACTTGCTGCTGGGAGAGGACCCCACCAGCGCCCTCCTCAGATGCGTCCACCACCAGGATGAAAGGATGAGCTGGATCTGGGTGTTTTAGGAGGGGAACTGTGATGAACCTCTCCTTCAGCCTCTTGAAGGTAGTGTCAGCCTCAGGGTTCCAGGCCAGCTTCTGAGGCCAACCCTTAAGGAGAGAGGTGAGCGGGGCGGCTATGAAGCTGAAGGACCTGATAAAATGCCGGTAGAAATTTGCCAAGGCCAGGAAGCTCTGTAGGCCCTTGATGGTGATGGGGACTAGCCATGACCTGACGGCGTCCGTCTTCGCTCTTTACATGAACACCCCCTGAGGACTGATCCTGTATCCCAGGAAGGAGATGGCCTGTTGGTGGAATTCGCATTTCTCCCCCTTCACCAACACCAACTGTGTTCCCGGAGGCGGAGTAGGACCGCTCGGATGTCCCTGACGTGCTCCTCGAACGTAGCCGAGTAGATCAGGATATCGTCAAGGTACACCACCACCTGTCTACTCAGCATGTCTCGGAACACGTCATTGACGAAGGACTGTAACACGGAAGGTGCGTTGGCGAGGCCGTAGGGTATGACACAGTATTCATAGTGGCCTGAGGTAGTGCTGAATGCAGTCTTCCACTCGTCTCCTTCCCGGATTCGGGTCAGGTTGTAGGCACTCCTCATGTCCAACTTGGTAAAGTACCAGGCCCCTCGCAGCTGCTCGATGGCCATTGGAACCAGAGGGAGGGGGTACCGGTACTTGGTGGTGACTGCGTTCAGCCCCTGGTAGTCAATGCACGGCCTCAGTCCTCCGTCTTTTTTGGCCACGAAGAAGAAGCTGGTGGAGGCAGGAGAGGTAGAGTGTCTGATGAACCCCTGTTTCAGGGTCTCCGCCACATACTTCTCCATGGCCTCAGTCTCCGCTATGGAAAGGGAGTAAATGAGACTCTTCGGGGAGTGCTGTCCCTCCAGAAGGTCAATGGTGCAGTCCCAGGGCCTGTGAGGAGAGGGACAATTAGCCTTGGAGTCAGAGAAGACATCGGAGAGATCTGCATACTCACATGGAATGTTGGGCAGGAGGGCGGACTCCGGACTCTCCACTGACATGGAACTACAAACCACCGGCAGGCAGGTTGTCCGGCATGAGGGGGACCAGGCTGTGATCCTCTTGGTGATCCAATTGATGGTGGGGTTGTGTAGTCTGAGCCAGGGCAATCCCAAGACGATCCGGTGAAAGGGTGACGTGACGATGTGGAAGGACAGCTCCTCGAGGTGCTCCGGTAGTGTGGGAATGGTGATGGTGAGAGTGACGTGCGTAATGGTGCCTGATCCAAGTGGTTTATTGTCCAGCGAGGTGACGTGTAATGGAGAAGGCAGTGGCACGGTGGACAACCCCCATTCAAAGACCAGCTCCCGATCGATAAGGTTCCCCGCTGATCCGGAATCTATCATTGCCGTGGAAAGTGAATAGAAGGAAGAACCATTCACCGTTAGGGGAACTAAAAACAATGGTTTGGTGACAGGTGATGATGGAACACTCACGGAGCGTCGACGGGAGCCATACCGCCTAGATAGGGAGCTGCCAGGAGATCTGTGGTCCGTGGTGGTGTAGGGGGTGCTGCCCACCTCCATGGGTGAGGACTCGGAGGCATGGCAGATTCCATAGCTCTGATGGGGTGAGGATCGAACACCACCCTGAACCGATCGAGGAAGGTAGAGTAGGGCTGCACCGCGGCCTCACCTCTATCCCAGACTGCCGTGGCCCAATCCAGCGCCTTTCCCTTCAGTAGCGAAATCACCAGCGCTATCCTGGCTTGGTCCGATGGAGATGCCCCATGCTGATGCGCCAGATACAGTGAAATCTGTAGCAGGAAGCCTCTACATTTTGTCGTTTTCCCGTCATAGCGCTCCGGCAGGGCGAGGTGTCCCTCAGACGTTGATGATAGCACGGGAGAAGGTGGACTGGGTGCACTCGCCGCTCCCTGAGGTGGAACCGGAACGATGGTCAGTTTATGCAGCGTTTGGAGCACTTCCTGCATGGAGGCATTCAGCTGGGCAATCTGCTGTTGGTGCTGGTCGAGGAGCTGAGAAACTCCAGGAGGATTACCTGCTGCATCCATCTTCAAGAGGTGTGTGATTCTGGGACGAGTACTGAGGATACGAAGAGGTAGGATGCAGAAATCAACAATGTAAAGGTTTACTTAACACTGAGCAAGAGACCAACAACGCACGAGTACACAACATGACACTAACAATCACACACAACACAACACTGAACAGTCCAGGGCTATATATAGGGGTGGTGATGAGATGATGAGGTGCAGGTGCGCTGGAGGTGATTAGGGTGTGTTGGGTTTGCATTCCGGTGTTGCCGAGGTGGTACGCTCAGACCGGTGGCTCAGTAGACCGGGAATCAGAGTGCCGGAGGGGAGCAACGGGAGGAGACGTGACAACTTTGTGACATCTGCTGATGTAAAAAGGGCTTTATAAATACATTTGATTGATTGATTGATTCTGTGGCAAAGTAGAACTACTGTTCCCAGCTGTCCGATGTGCCGGTGGGCAAGGTGTGAAACCAGTGCCCTGGTGAGTCATACGAAATATACTTTAAGACAGTTTAACAGTTTCCAGACTTAAGACACCTACTAATGGTCTCGTTGGGACAGAAACAAAAATAGGGAAGTTGGTCGGGGAGGATGGGTTGGCGTAATCCGCGACCGTCTAGCAATCTAAAGGTTTCGTGTTCTAGTCGCGTCTGGGAATCAAATCAAATACATTTTTATTCGTCACATGCTTCGTAAACAAAAGGTGTCGACTAACAGTGAAATGCTTACTTATGGGTCCTTTTCCAATAATGCAGAGTTAAGATAAAGATAAAAAATTGAATAAAAATTTGAAATAGTGACATAAGAAATAAATACACAGTGAATACAACTGTAGCATTTTAGCTAACCCTTCCCCTAACCCTTATTCTAAACGTAACCCAATTCACTTAACCAGCTACGTAAATTAATCTAACCTAATTCGTTTTAGATCCCCTAACCTTTCACATAAATTATCCAAACCTTTGTTGTTAGTTCACCTAACCCCCAGCCTAAATTCTCCCACCAATTCTCCTTTGACGCAACAAGCAACTTGGTCTCAGAGAAAGACATATAATAATATACATCCTCCAAGATGAATGCATGTTAACTTCATCCAATTCGTATGCTATTGTACGACTGGTTAAGTCTTATGATAAGATACATCCACTAATTCGAATGACATTGTACGACATATCATACTAAATGGAGTGTCACAGATTTGATTTACATACAGATTAATTCGAATTACCATGAGACCACGTTGCATAAATTATTCTGTGGATCGCTGACATTTCCTGCAGCAAGTGCCTATCCTTACTA